TATGCTTTTTATTCTGAAAGCTATCAGCACTCACATTTTTATCATTCGGATGTACGTTCGGCTCATATGCAATACAAAATTACATCGTCGTCATTAATTTAACATAGCAGGGAACTGAACTCAAAACTATGCATTCATCTGTCTATGAGCAAGTATATTCGGTAGAACCGAGTGAATTCATCCCAAGTCGAGGAAAAGCCCAGATCGTCTGAGATCCATCGGTCTAAATTTCTAGTTCTAAAATACAATATTTAACAGAAACCTTTATTAAAAGCTACTTTTATCGGTTCGTGGACAGACAGAGCCTAGAACTACTTCCATGAAGTTTTTCTTTTTGATTGATCGGCTAAGCGATACGTCACAGCTCTTGGCGGTTGGCGAGAAAACTGCAATTGCATAGTGCACAATCGCAACCGATCGATTAGCCGGTCAAGCAAAAAACAACTCATGGGACTGTTTTGTTTTGCACCTTTTCGTCTATATAAATCTGAAAGATATTTTAGCTAACTTAGAAATTTTTCTTTCTTGCACTTATCCGAATCACTGTCGTTTCGCCAAAAGGCAATTCGCCATGGCGAATTGTCTTGCGGCGAAACGGTTTTTTAACATCTTTTGTGTAGGCAAAATTTTGGGGAATCTCTGACGTTTCGCCAGAGCAAATTTCCTGGACGATTCGCAAGACAATTTCCTGGAAACCTTCCTCGAAATATATATTTTCAAACAAACTAACAAATAGCTACGAACACAGAGTCTTGAAAATAGAAATGCTAGAAATGCGTACTAATTCCAACACAAATAAACATGAGAACGATGTCACAACAAAAGACATAGGGGAATAAAATAAATATAATTTTTCAAATAACGTTGCGTTTTATCTAATTCAACTTAGTAAAAAAACACCTGTTCTTAAAAATGAAGAAAAAAGAAAAAACATATTTACACTTTCAAAATACATCTTCACATAGTCTCTACCTCCTTCCTTCTTCTTCATCTTCACACATACTTCCAACTACTATCACTATTTTCAACGGCACACGACATTTCGCCAGTTGGCGAAACAACACATGACATTTCGCCATGGCGAATTGTCTTTTGGCGAATCGTCTTTTGGCGAAACGGTTTTTTACCACTTATCCTACATCTAAAGTAATATAAGATCGTGTGGGCCAGTGGTACAAATCTCAGCCCGATCCAATGAAAGTTTAGGTGGATTGGTACGAGTATCGCTTGAAACGATTAATATTTTCTTTAAATTACATGACAGAAAACCATTCCAAATATTTTTCTGATGACTTTTCCTCAAAACATTTCACGCAGCTAGTAATCAGTACACTTTTCTAAACATCCTTTTCTGTTCAACGGAAATCAAAATAGTTCTGAAATCAAAATTTCAAAAGATATTTTTGTGCCGGCTGAAAAACTTCAAACGTCATATTTTTCGATAGAAAAGTCGCAGAGAGTTGGAAAACATCTCATTTTGTAGAGAAAGCTTCTCTATGAAGCGATATTGGATTCAAAATTTTGTTTTTCTCATGAAAGAGGAATGATGTACTCTTAATCTAGATTATTCGATCGGCAAAAACGTTTTGCTATGTAGTGAATTGATCATAATATCGTACTTTCTATTGATATTATGTGCTGACATATTTTTTAGACTACCTTGGCAATTCAATCTGAAATGGGACTGTAGATGCGTAGTTTTCAAAGCCCTACCCTAGAAAGGCATAAGAAAGTAAATAAATATAAATCCATGATCAACACCAAAAACTACTCGAGAAAAATCAATTTATCACTTGAATATATTTTCTCTTACAATGACGTAGTTGACACTAATAGTTCTCAGCTCGGCAAAGCACGCATTAACTTTATCCTGGTTTTAGCCCGATGGGTTGGTTATCTTTTCTGCTTATATAATATGATTGTTATTTTGTCGCGAACTAAAGATAAGAAGCAGACTTTCTTTAATCAGAATTCCCTCTTCTCTATACATTAACGTTGTTGTCTTTTTCTTCCTGTTGACGCATTTTTTATGAGTAGTGTGCAACTTTAATTATTTTCATTGCCTATAGGACGAAGGAAAAGGGGAAAGAAGAAAACTATCTCGACGCTTACATAGGTACATAATAAATGAAACAAACAGAAAGACGAAGGCAAGGACATATAGTTTTATTTAATTATATTATATGACTAGTGTACAGCTAGACAAATTGCATTCGTGCACAAAGAAAATATAAAAAAACATAATTTAATCTAAAAGACTTATAAAAACATTTAAAATAAAAATTTAAATGAAAATATAAGAATGTAAAACGTTAAAGCTGTTATCTATGCCGTCATTTTTTTGAACTGCTCGACCATATCTGTGAAACACTGATCCAGTCCAATATACTTCATCCCCAACAGCTCCACACTTTTCCCATTATCCATTCCACACCACTTATCCAAGTTCTTCACGTGCTCGGGATCAACAACCCTACTTTCCAACTTTTTCAGACTAACTATTGCATCTCGAACTCGAAATGGTCCTGAATTCACAATTAATCTGTATCCCCCCGCATTTCTCTTCTCAATCGCTAGTACATGCGCACGAGCTACATCTCGAACATCTACCCAATGCGGAAAAATATCTGACGGAGGAGCTTGACCTTGATAAAGTCCATAAATAATTTTATTACTCTCAGAAAAGTCAGCGGACGACGTCGGTTGCCATGTGGTGGGATCGAAAATCCAACTAGGGAGAATGCATACAATATCGAATTTCTCTTGTGCATTATTACGAGTGAACTCCCAAGCAGCCTTTTCGGCCAGTGTCTTTCCTCCAGCGTAGGCATAGATAAGAGGGCCGCAATAGATGTCCTGAGGGGGATTACATGCTTGTTCATAGGTGACCGGATTCCAGTCTTTTTCGGTGTACATATAATCTCTCGATGGACCGTAATCATAGTTGAATACGGTCGCTTGTGATCCGGTGATAATGACACGTTTAACTGACGGTGTTGCCACTGCTGTCTCCAACAGGTGGATCAAAGCGGCAATTGTCGGATCGACAAGATCGCGCTTGGGTTGTATTTCTTCATGGAATGAAAATGGAGACGCTACAGCCATGACATACTCGCATCCTAAATACATCGAATCAGGTTGTATAATAGGTGAGTGAGGTCATAAGAGCATACCTGTCATAGCCTCCTTGAAAGCGTTCTTGCCAGTAATATCAGGCACCTCTACAATCTCCAGTTTGCCTTTCTCCATGTCCTTCTCATGAAACGTCAGCAAGTTCTCCGCTCGAGCTTTTGATCGGACTGTTCCTCGGACTGCATAGCCCTTATTCAGCAATTCTACAATGATATGGCTCGCGACGTGACCAGTTGCTCCTGTAACGAGGACTTTGGACATCGTTGTGTATCCAAACGTATTCTTTTTTATTTTGCCAGATTTCAGTGTCTTTTATACAGTATACCGTAGCTTCCGAAACAAATTATGCTAAGTAAATATTACCAAGTAAATTTTTTCTACTGCGATAAAGAAAAGAAGAAAGGAACGAAAACCACATTGAGTTATGTACTTGTACGCACCGAAAGAATAAAAGAATCAAAAATCCAATAGTGTATTCACCTACTAGCTTTTATGTATAGTCAATGTCAAGTGTATTTTTAGAGTGAAAGACTATGGAAAAATGAGGAACTTTGAGCTAGGTAGACGAAGAAAATGAGAACTATTCGAAGTGTAAGAATTATATAGTAAAGATGGTTAATAAGCTTGACTTTAGTATCATAACTATGCGACTTGGCCAAATGTTACTGAATTTCATTTTTTCATCTTCTGTGCTCCTTATCTCGGCAAAGAAGCAACGTTTATCAATACCGATGATGGATATTAGAGAGTTCTATTACCAAAAATAAATTGAGCTTGATGCTGATCAAGCAGAACAAAAGTTAAAAGTCAAAATAGAGACCGTTACGGAATTTCAAAAAATGGAAGTATTTTTCGGCTTATTCCAGTAAAATGCAAATTATTCAGTCTTAAATTAATTTTAAAATGATTGCTTAATTACCAAATTAAAGCTGACAATTTCGGCTATCAGAAACACTACTGACTTTTTCTTGAATTAGTTCCCTGCCAGAGGAAATCAAATAAAAGTGATCGTTATGGAATTTCACCGTTTTTTGTTCTTCTTTGGTTTGGTATATATTTTTTCTGTCACAGAACTACTTAGCAAGCTCTGCTTTGCACATAGACAGATAGTTTGAGGCGCCCTTCATCCCATACAGCCAAAAATAAATTTTCAAAGTTAGACTAAATGGGTATAAAATTACTCACAAAGCGCCAAAACTCTTTTTAGAAAATAAAAAAGAAATGTGGCATCTAAACGTCAAAACAAATGAGTCCTTTGGTAGAGGATTTAATTCTCTATCCGACGGTATAGTTTCCGAATTTTTGGAAAAAATATCTATGTCAGGAAATTAAATTTAAAGTTTAAAAATTTTAAAATTTAAATTTTCACCACGAACAGTCTGAGTTCAGATTTGTAATCACCGTGAAAAATTGCGTGGGATGATGTATTTTTAAGCTTTGCTTAGGTTAAAACAAAAATTCGAACCTTCTCATCCGAAGGTGGACCGTTAACTGGCCACGCCGTATGGGTTCTGATGACTACTTATCACTCTTTACGTCTATTGTTCAATATTCCTTTTAATTTAATGAATTATTCTTAAGTGTCGCACTTTCACTGTGATGTACCCCCATTCATCCACTCTGTATATTCTGAATATCTTTACTTCGATATGGGTTTTTCTTCCTCTACTAACGAGGGAAGGTCCCCAGGTGTTCAAGCCGTTTAGACTTCATCTTTTGCCCATAAGTAGACCACGATGAGATATGAAAGACCTGAAAAAGATTCATTCCCTCGTGCCTTCATCCCTATGGTATTGAATTTTCAAGATATTCTATGAGGAAATGAGAATAAAACGATCTATGACTATTTTTTGGGGATAGTGGAACATCAATGGCTGGAAAAGGGTTATACGATCACATTTCGGAATGCACAAGACTTGCGATACCAAGGAAAACGACCAGTCAAATCCAACCCTTGGACATGTTTTTCAATAGACAAATGAAAGTGATTCCTCGTCGAATCTACGATTGTGTGGTGCTCGATGAACTTGATATTAACATGAGCGAGCACAATAATATTATTCGTCTGACGTCTCTCAATCATAATCAATTATCATCCGAAAGTTTTCGCCGGATGATTCAGTACGCTTGGTATGCTAGCGGATATACGGACGCTCATCCAGGACCTTTTAAAACAGTGGCTGAAGTCTCTCTTGACGTTGCCACCTGTGTTGCTCCGTCTTGTGATGCAGAGCGTTTTATCTGCTGCAGCTGGTATCACAAAACGCTGTGTTTTACTCATTTTTTCTTGAACTATCACTTCCACTAGTTTTCTATAGGAAGATTGTCGTGCTTTAAAAACTGGTATTAAGAACATCATAAGAATTTGTATGCTATTTGAACTCATGAATAACGAATAGAATCGTTATAGATAGAATTATATCCAGCTCTCAAATCCCAATAGATCGTGCAAGGAGCGCATAATACTGAAGAAAAAGCTTCAGCCATTGATGTTCCACTATTCTCAAAAAATAGTCCTAGATTGTTTTATTCTCATTTCCTCATAGAATATCTTGAAAATTCAATATCCTAGGAATGAAGGCACGAGGGAATGAATCCTTTTCAGATCTTTCATATCTCATCGAGGTCTACTTATGGGCAAAAGATGAAGTTTAAACGGCTTGAACACTTAGGGACCTTCCCTCGTAAGCTCAAACTTTTCAAAGTTACTTCTCATCTTCTCAAAGTTTTCCACCATAAAATATCAGTTGACATATATGTATAAAAGTTTTTGGTATAAGTGCAAAATGTGCAAGGGTTTGTAGTACTCGGCAAGCTGAGTTGTATAATAATAAAAAGAGTTAAAATATTTCTTGTCATCATGGTTTTCGATGGTTCTTGTCAAGACGGGACCGCCGTTTTGCAAAAGCATGGTAATACCCATAAGAGTAAATAAAAGCAAAGCGAAGAAAGAGAAAATCTAGTTTATTGGAAAAAAACGAGCTTTGAAATATTGAATTAACAAAAACAATTGAATGGATCCGAGTCTTCTTTTTGTGCATTCTTTCTGTTGTCAGTATATATCTAAACATAAACAAGAACACGCACAAAGAGCCATTTTTAACTAAAGTAAAGATTACTTATCCGAAGCTGAAGAGGACAGTATTTGTGCTGAAATGATATTGATATCCATCTGATGTGATTTGATGAATGGCTAATAAGGCTATTTTGCTTTATGTATAAGTAAGTAGAAATCTGATTTACGTCAGATATGGAACTCTTGATTCTCAAAGTATTGATCTAATTTAAATATTTATTAACCATTAACTAAAGATTTGTTCATCTTTTTCTTTCTGTCTGTTATTTAATCCCGTTTTTTCTCTATCATTCCTAAACCGCTGGTGGATATTAACTAGAAATGTCTACATCAAACCAATTTTTATATGGATAACATGCAATAAAACTTGTTATAACTTTGTAGTGCTTTATAGATATGTTTTTGACAGAGTTTCACTAACACTAAATATCATTGAAAAACAGAGTCCAAGCAGAACAACAAATTTTATTGAAAGCTAGAAGGTCTTGGTGTATAATGGTCAGTTCTACTTTCGATCAACACACTTTTTTCGGTAGTAAACAGCATTTGTAAACAGATCGTCAGATATTTCAAAATGCGTAATTATTTTGTTTTCTATTTTCTACTTTCCATATTTCCAATTTTTCCCTGGAATTTTTTCGTTTTTTTTATATTGTTATGATTCAGATATATTAAGTGGTTCTTAAGATATATGACTGACAACAAAAGCAACAAAATAGGCCTAAACGGTGATTTAGTAGTAGTATTATTGCTAGTATTAATTACACGTGTGATATAATTTCAGTGTGTGGTCGTTTTCGTTTTGAGCACATGTCTTGCTAGCCGAGAAATAGCAAAAGAAAATAATTGGAGATGAGCTGTATCATTAACCTTAATTTCTTAATCTAGGAATCCGGCTGCAATCCAGTGTCTATTATGTGCTGAAAAATCACGAGAAGATCATGTATATATGTACATATTAAAGTGGTAGTGACTTATACTGGAAAGTACAAAATTCAATACTTTAATATGTTTAAAATACTTCTTTGCCAACAATAATAATGAAAAACAAGAATTAACAACAATAATAGTAGCATAAATGAAGAAAAAATAAAAATATTTTGCTGCTGAATATAATGATTCTAGACAACCACGTAAAAAGAGGCTTGTAGTTTTGAGTTTCTTACTTTCTTAACCTTTCTATTGTTTTTTTCTGCAAATTTAGTATTATCATCAAATAAAGTTGAATTACAATGTTATTGAGCGTAATGATCCATTTACCAGTCTTGAAGAAAATGCAAACAATATTTTCAAAATCATCCAAACTAGCTTATATGCTATTTTGTGCATTGACGACGATTGAAAGGAAATTTCGTGCTTCTGGGTTTATAATCAATGAACGACGACCAAAACTGAGTACAGATGTGTTAAACGATAATTTTTAATCCCGATACTTCCCATCTCCACTTCAATAGATCCATAAAGAACTTCTCTTACAACCATTTGGAGATCCCTGTACACTGAATATCATGTTCAACCGTCATTTCACAAGACAGTAACGAAGAAACCGATAGAAAACCTGCAAGATTTTTGAAAACTTCTTGGTTTTTCAAATTCCAGTAGACTTTTCATAAATTCACATCTTTTTGGGTGCACTTTCCTCGTTGTTTACCGGATCATTTTCTAACGATGAAACACCTAATTAAGGTAAGTTTTTACTTTCAGTTTATGTTGCACTGTACAGTAGGTCTCTTTACGGAATTAACTGGTAAGATGAGCTCTCGATACGTCTGTAGAACTGAAATTATTTTTCAACTGCCATATATGTAATTCCATTAACTCTTATCCTCTATTTCTTCTATCTTGCCTTTAACTGAATTTTGTTCTCCACTACACGTGAAAATGCATTTTTTTTTTGTCTTCTGTTTGTATATGTAAAGAAATTCAAATGAAAGTAAATTTTTTCTTCGAGAAAAAACAGCATAAATGTTAAATCACAAGAGCAAATGGGGTGAAGAGCGTTTGTTATGCCAGGTTTCAAAGGATCGCTTGTTAACTTTTGCAGATGCTGCTTTAGGCAGAAGAACTCGATAGACGTAGTCTCTGACAACGATAAGACAAAGCCTGTTATTGAACAATCTAAGGGACTTACACCAATCACTACACAACCGAAACCCATTCAACGAGAAGAAGCAGATCAGAATGCAACTTGTCTTCCATCTGTATCTTTATTGAGCAATCAACATTTACAATATGTCGACAAACCAAAAGATACTCTTCCGTCGCTATTACAAGTTCCGCTAAAGAATGATAAACCGCTTGAAATTCTATCGATAAGTCAAAAGATACTTGTTAGCACAGTCTTACCACCCATCAATGATCAACAATCAGTAAGACCACTTGACTATAAACTACCATCCGCGGGTTATGCTGTTGAACAAAAAACTAATTATCAATATGAGGCCCCTCAGCCCGTTCAGCGTTGGAACACATGGGAGGACCAGCGACCACTTGTAAGTGCACTACCTTATGACGAGAAGAACAGTTATTATGAGACCGGTAAAGCAGCTAGACGCCGTCGCGCTCGGGCGAGAAAAAGACAGCGACAAAAGCTTACTCGCATAGCCCCGATACAGTTTAATGTACAAGTGTATTTCTGTGATGCTAGTTACAATGATAACTATGAAGTTGGTGTTTATGGGTTTATGTTTCGAAACCAAATCGTCACTCAAATTTACACGAATGGGTGCGGTAGTACAATGTGTGAAGTGTTAGCTGCCACACTTGCGTTGCAACATGCAAACAAATGTTACAACGGGTATGACAATTCATATTATGTCATAATATATACTGACAATACAACGGTCCAATCTCTGATAAATACACCGAAAATGACTGACCGTTCTAATTATCCAGAATTTTTTGAAATTAAAGATGAGTATAACTATCAGCTTGAAGCACAATGGACGCCAGGTCATCCAAAATGGATTCAAAACAGTGTTCAGCGTGCATTTGCAAAATTAGATCAGCAAGTTCGATTTGACTTACGGCAATACGTAAGAATGTTGGAATTTCAGTACGACTATACGTACCATTGAGGGTGAGTAAGCTGATTTCGTTTACAAAGATGCTTCTAATGTACACAGAAGAATTAAAACCAAAAGTTTAATGAAAGATGAATCTTTGATAAATGCCTTTCAGTCAGGTGTATTATCAGTTATCATAGAAATGCAGTTTCCCTTTTAGATCGCTTACATTTGCCGCTGGATTCAATCGAGAAATAGTTACTGCATAAGTTTGGTGACTTCATCTATCACCGTTTAGGAGATGTCGCTCGAACATTGGTCAAAACGGGGCATCTACCGTCTAGCAGACTTTTTCTCTTAGAAAATAGCTGAAGAGCTCGGACCCGTTTTAAACTATAAAATGAAGTTAGGGTAACGACGTAAAAGAGCCAGACTTTTGAGTTTTTTCTTGGTTTATTTTCCGACGGATTTCATCTCAAAAGTTCGAAAAAACCGCAGAAACTGGCATATGGCTATCAACACCGTAAAAGAATGACGACCTAAACCAAAAATCGGGCTCTTTTACGTTGTTCCTATATGTCTTAGCTTCAATTAAAGATCAATCCCAGTTCTCTAGCGCTGGCTTAATTTGACGGAGAAATCTTTCTGACTGTGTTTACCACGTAGGAAAAAGTCGCTTTTGAGATATAGTGGCGCTAGTGTATGTTAGAGCTCTTGATAAAACTGTTCAAACCATCACACGGTGCTGCGAGACGTCTCACTTAAACCACAACCGTTTACGCTACGAACTGGGGTCACCAGAATACATTTTGATTCCGACATTTCATTGAAATACCACAATTTCAGAAAATCAGGTTTCCAGAGCGTTTAGAAGATTTGTTCAAAATTCTCCAAAAATCTTTGATATTGGCACAAATAGTATGGATTCTAAAAGTAGGCATCTTGGGCTTTTCAATCATGTGTTTAGCTCGATATGGACGCTTTTATGACAAATCTATTCTTCTGACCCAGGAAGCCTTAAATGGATCCTTTATGCCGCATTTTCTGCTCTGTAAGCAAAGAAAGGAAAATTTTATTTTTATACTAACAGATAATAACTGATAGGAAAACACACACCACAGGCTCATCCTTACCTAAGCTATACTTCTAATCCTACTGTGTAGAGTAGAATCGTTGTAAAAGAAAAAATGAACGAAAAAAAACAATCTTTTTGACCACACACTAAAGTATATTTCTGTCTTTTTTTTACTCTACTTCTCTGATTCTTTTTCTTTCTAGTTATATGAGAGCGTGTAGGATTTTTATTGTTGACTAAATGAATAAAATCAAGCATTTCTTTGCCTCACTATGTCCGAAATTTTTTTTGTCTGTTGTTTCTTTTCGTTCTGCTCTTGAACAATGTTTATGCTGCAAAAAAAAGAGAAGTCATGTTGGCGGTTAAGCAAGATTTTTCACAATTTTTTGTGATAAAAATCATTTTTTCGAATTTTGAGCCCACAAGTACACGAAGAATAGCGAGATAATGCTCCATGTTTCTTTTCCGACAGCTTTTTAATTCAATGAGTACGGTACAGTTTCAGATTTTGAGTCTATTCCCTAGTCGTCAATTCTTATATAAGAATTGGACGGGAATCTGGTAAGGATCTTGCCAGCTTCTTGTCTGCTTTTCCTAAGAATCTTATCCGATTCTTATCAGATTCGTATATAAGAAGTGGCACGAA